ATTTTTGAATATTCCCCCTGTAGAGGGACAGGCTCGACTCAACCCTGGCCCCCCTCGGCGCGTGGCCGCAAAGAGGGCTCCGAGAGCGCCTGCCGCCAACCCCCGCCGCTCCTCGCTTGCTCCCCTCCGCCTGCCCGCCCGGCCACGCCCGCGGCCCGCCACACACCCACACGCACACACACACGCACACACACACACACACACACACACGCACGCACACACACACACACACAGGCACACACACACACACACACACGCACACACACACACACACGAACGCACACACACACACACACACACACACACACACACACACACACACACACGCACGCACAGACACACACACACACACACACACACACACACACGCACGCACGCACACACACACACACACACACACACACACACACACACACGCACACCCTCGGACGCACGCCAGCACGGGCGTCGGATCCGTGGACCTCGCGCCCAGGGGCGCGGGATCCGCGGGTCGGGGGAGGCACCCAGCGGTCGGAAGAAGGGTCAAGTCGGGCCTGTCCCTCTACAGGGGGAATATTCAAAAATAGGGAAGAAATAGTCTGGGGACTGTTTTTTGAAGATGTTCGGGCATCTTTTGAGCATTTTTGGGATATGTTTCATTTCGTCGAAAATCCCCCTGTAGGGGGACACGCCCGACTTAAAACAGGTGGGCAGAAACACGGAGCAGGAGGGCGCTGAAAGCAGATTGGGCCCCGTCCGCCCCCCGAGGAGGACGGACGAGGTGAGGCCACTCGACCGCGGAAGCAGGAGGGCGCTCCGCGCAGCTCGGCACCTGGGCGTCCGAAGACACCCACCTGCAACGACCGAGGGGTACCCCGGAAGCTCCCTCCGCCATCCACCCCCCCCCCCTCCACTCTCGGCCTCCCGCAGAAGGGGCCCCCCCACGGGCAAGAGCGGCCTCCCGTGCGCGCGGCGCTCGGGTGCAGCCGCGGAGAGGGGCCGGGCCCCGGCGCGCAGGACGCAGCTGCCCCATCGCCTCCGGCGGGCGGAAACACCCAGTGGGCACGGATCGGAGCCGAGGCAAGGTGATGCCAAACATGATCAGGGCTGGGGATGTGCTCCAAACTGCTGGGCGTCAGGCCAATGCGGCCTGCCTTGGCGAAGCAGCGCGCCGATTCTGCATGCGAGCCAGGCCCGTCGCCAACCCCCACGCGCCTTGATCCACTCTGGAGGTCGGAAAAAGGTGTGGTGGCACAAAGGGGCATGGTGCCAATCGCGGAAATGGCGATGCTACCTGCGATAAAGAACATCGCCAGAATCCCCCTTACCTTAAATTAACACACCACACCCCTCTATACCCAGAGATCCGATGTCGTGATTTTTTCAATACGGGGTCCCTGGAAGTCTCGACCCATTCTCCAGGACCGGCTTTTCATCCTGAGTCGTTTTTTGACAGTCCCAGGGCCCGGCGAGGGCCGCCAGAGGCCGAACATCGAGGAAAACCTCCGTCTTGTTTTTTTTCCTTACGTCGGAGGTCTGGGTACCATACCCCTTTCGTACCTCCAAATCCATGTCTGCGTGTTTTCGAACCTCACGAGCTCGCATGCATGCCCAGTCCCCATTCCGCCTGCCCGCCCGCCCCACGAGCCCCGGCCTCCCGCCCGCGCCTCCCTGGCCGGCTGCCTGCTTCTCCCCTGGCCTCTCCCCCCGCCGCCGCGCCGCAGAAGCCTACCGGGGAGTTCAGTCGGGCGTGTCCCCCTACAGCGGGATTTTCGACGAAAAATGAAAAATACCCCAACAATAGTCCAAAAATAATTCAGAAATGGTCTGGGGACTATGTTTATGATATCTTCTTACCTTTTTGGCAAGCAAGCAAGCAAGAAGTCATACACCCGGAGGTGCGTAGGACACAAATGTGGGAAAGTTTATAGGAGACGAAAAAAAAAAAAAAAAAAAAAAAAAAAAAAAAAAAAAAACGATCATCCGCATTATACAGATGATGTTGCACTACAACTGTAAGACTGCCGTGCGCACGAAATGCCTCCACGAGGCCTCATTCGTCAGAAGTGGGACTACATTAGCCAAGCCGTTCGCTGCCACACTCGCCATGCGCAGCACCTGGGTTGTCCAGTCTGCACGCGGTCTGCCTACTTTCCTCACGTACCTCTCAGAAGCCGGCTGGAAGGACTTCGGGCAGAACGCGACTTCTCTCAGCAGGCCCCCTTCCGGTGCCCTTGCTGCCTTTCCCAAGGAGGAGCTGCTAACTTGCCACGGCGTCCGTCAGAGGGGCCTGCCCTGTCTCGCGAAGAACTGTAGCGTTGCTCACTCTTGACATGAAGGCAGGCGCGATCCCCCAGATAGAGCGGAGGCACCGGCAATGGAAACCATCCAATCGCCTACGCCCAGCAGCGCTGAAACACAGAGAAGACAAACCAGATGTCAACTTGCTGAGAATCACAGCCTTATATATCTCAACTTTTCTGTACCGGCTCAAATTTGAATGTCTCCATATCTTTGAAAGTTTATCGAAATCGGCCCGCGCCGCGCCCAGCCGGCGAGAGAGCTCCTTGTTTGCATTTCCCGCGTCAGAAATAAGAGCGCCCAAGTAGATCATATCTGGCTGCGCTGGTATGACGCCCCCGTGCACGTTTCGGACTTTGCCAGCGCACCGGACCTTCAAGAGTTGGAACTTGTCGGGGCGCAGCTCCATGCCATATGATCTCCCAGCTTGTTGGATTGCTTGTAATAGTGCTTCCACTGCCCGCGTAGTTCTTCCCAAGATCAATGTGTCATCAGCGCACAGCAAGACGGAAAGAGACCCTCGCTCCCAGGAGCCCCGGTCGGAACCGGCAAGCTGCGAAGCCGCTTGCTCGATGATAACTGTCATCGTCATTACAAACAAGAACGGTGGCAGCGGGCAACCTCTCGATATCCCTGACGCCTGCGGCCTCGAGGAAGACGTCGCACCGCAGTCCCGCACCTCAAAGCACCGGCCCGTATAAATAGAACGCATGACGTCCAAGACATGCTCTGGCAGGCCGAAGCTACGTAATCCGCAAATCACGGCAGAAGGATCGATTGAATCGAAAGCATTTTTCCAATCAAGGGCCAGCGCATACAAGTTTCCGACGGATCCTCCCAACTCCAGGTCAATTCGTCTACGCAATGCAAAAATGGCCTCTTGGATCCCGTGCTTGGATCTGAACCCAAATTGAGATTATGTTAGCCTTGCCTCTGCGCCGCCGCCCACCAAGCGCCGGTGCAGCAGAGACGCAAAGACTTTGTACCCAATCACGAGGAGGCTGGTTGGACGATAGTTGCTGCAATCGTCGGTCTTGCCCTTCTTGTGGATGGTCGTAACCCTTGCTTTGTGCCGTTCTTGCGGGACCCGTCGACTCTGCCAGCAATAAGTTGACAAAATCTGTGATTTGTTGGAGAGCGCCAGAACTGTCCGCAAGTACCTTCCAGTATTCTGGCGGGGCGCCGTCTGGCCCCGGCGCCTTGCCTGATTGCAAATGCCGCAAGCAATTCTTGACCTCGTCTTCCGTGAACTTGGAAAGCTTGACCGGCAGCGTGTCTCCGAGCGCCGGCGTGTCGATGATATCGGCTTGCCTGACTCCCCATTGCACCTTTTCCAAGTATGTTGCCATTGTGTCCGCCCGTGCCTCGCTGCTCACCAAATCCCCATCCAGATTTCGCAATTTTCCTTGCTTAGCTAGCCGGGGTTTGCGGAAATTCCGGATGTCGTTCCACAATCCTGTCGCCACTGAGTATTCCAACCATTTGGTCTTGTCTTGCCTTGCAGATTCCCTCACGGCTTTGTGCATTTCGTTCTCGCGTCCGGCGTCTCCGTCGTGTCTCGCCTGCGACCTTTGGTGGATAAGCTGCACTGTCCGGTCACTTATCCAAGGTCGTCTGGGTCGGGGCGCCTCGTCAGGTAGTCCCGCGGCTGCGACGTGGATCGCGGCAGAGATGTCCCTCCAGGTATCTTCCACCACATCCGCGACGTCGAAATCCTGATTCATGTTCTCCAGAAAAGTGGAAACGAACTGCTGTCGTACTCCAGGATCCTGAAAGCTTCGAAACTGTTTCCCCGCAGGTCGTTGGCAGCGGGGCAGTTCTTCGATGTCCATGTCGAGCTCGCAACATACCAAGAAATGCCGGGTTGCCAAAGCCACCTCACGCCGGTTTGCGACCGAGATCACATCTGTGACGCTCGTGTTTGGCACCAGAAGCAAATCAAGCAGAGCGAACTTTTGAGGCACGACTTCGTCCATCGGTTTCGTGCCCCCTTCCATGTATGTAACAAGTCGTGCAGCAGAAACGTCTTGGAAAGTACTACTGATAATGTATTCCTGCACCGTGCAGAACTTCATCAGCAGGTCCCGGTTGGGGCATTCGACTCTGTGCTTTGCCTCTTCGCCGAAGGTGTGCGGTCTTATGGCGTGTTCTTCTCCCCGTCGGCGCTGGCCAAGCCGGGCATTGCAATCCCCCAAGATATAATTTGCTCCATTCACAGATACATATTTAAGCAGCTTTCCCAAATCCAAATAAAACTGTAGCCTTTCTGGTAATGGTCGAAGGTTGTGTGGAGCATAACCGGTGGACAGCGCATGTTTGCCTCTGCCCCCGCGGATTTTGAGGCAGGCAAGCCGGTCTGAGTACTGCAAGAAGCCACATATGCATGACGACACGTGCGGCGCAACTATAAATCCCACTCCTGCTCTTGGTGCGTTTTCATCGCCGGACCTCTCGGAGCCCGACAAAATAATGCGATAATCATTGTATGTGTAGCACTCTGCTTTAGGAGCCCACGTCTACTGGAGGCAAAGAAAATCGATCCTCTCAACACGCATTGCTTCGCAAATTGTGTGGAGCTTCTCGTCTGTCAGGCCGGTTACATTCCACGTAGCCACTGTGACGTGCCCATTTTGCGCACGAGTGACTGGACGAGGGCGCGGGCCAGAAGGAGATGCTGAAAAACGATTGGGTGAAACTGTGTCCTCGCCCCCCGGGCACCATCACTTGCTTTTCCCTTTGCCCTTGTCCGCGACGCGGCCGAGGATTTCCTGGCAAGAAGCACCAAGCTGCTTGAACTCGGAATCGTTGTGAAATGCGCTCCACTGCTCCCATTCCGTTTTCGCCCACGTCTGGTGCATAGTGCCGCTGTTAACGGAGACTGTGATGATGTGCTCCCCCGCAACGTGCATCGTCAGGGCCTCGTCGTCGATCTGGACCGCTTGCTTCCTGAAGCCCCACTCCGTCAGTAGACGTTTGAAGCCGAAGAGAAAACGGAGAGGCACACGCTGAGTAATTGGCATATCCCGGTTCGCCCAGATTTTCTGACCATTGTGAGAAATACTGTTCTGGCGGAAATGCTTCACCAAAGTATCCACGGATGTAGGGCTGCCAAACTTAGCAAACAAGAGGCCGTTGAACGACTCACCTTTGATGAAGATGTCGGCCGGCGGCGGGACGTTGATATTGGCAATGCGCGTATTGAGGAAGTCTGAAGCTGCTGCCAAATCGGCAAAACCATCCATTCCACCAAGCACTGCAATCGTTCCGTCTGGCGTTCGCCCCTTCCCCGTGAGATCATTGATCTTGTTTTCCATATCCTGGAGTTTCGCTTCCAGGACCGTCCCCAGGGAGGCTTCTGACCCAGATCTGGCCGACATTGTTTTGGGCGTGGAAACTTCTAATGTCGATACCCTGGATGTGATATCGTCCACCGCCGCCTTGAGCGGCTGGACGGCGTTATGGAGATCTTGATGGGATACTCCATGTTTTTTGATCGCGTTGATATCCTTCTCGATGGGCTTGAGCTTTTCGTTCAGGATCTGCTTAAATAGGCCGACGGTCAGGGCGGTTCCAGAGTCCGCTACCTCTCCGAGGTTCTGCTCGAATTGTTGCTGCATCTCCCCTGGGCCGTCCTCGTCGTCCATGCCGTCCAGCTCCTGGAGTGGACTGCCACTCGGCCCTGTGAGACGCGCCACTTTCTTTTCTGGAGTGCCGATATGACGTTCCTCTGGCATGGTTCCCTTCCACTCAAGCGAGATAAGCAGAACACGAGAGAGAATGCCAAGTATGGTCAGGACGGAGTAAGTGGGAACAGGATGTACAGTATGTGAAAATTGTCGTTTTGTTGGGGTGTTTTTTATTTTTCGTCGAAAATCCCCCTGTAGGGGGACAGGCCCGACTTAACCCGGGAGCAGAAAGTGGAGCTTCTTGGGCGGAGAAGGTCTGGCGAGGAGAGGGGGCCAGGACCCCGGATGCTCGCAACGGCTCGCCTCCCAGAGCCCCGACGTCATGATTTTGTTCATGACGTCGACCCCCAAAGAGTTCGACCTATTCCCTGGGACCGGTTCTTCATCCTGAGCCGCTCTTGGATGGCCCGGAAGCCCAGGAAGGGCCCCCAGAGGTAGAAACTGGCGACAAACCTTCGGTTGTGTTTGTTCCATGCTCGAGGGGGTCTGGGGGGAGGGGGCCAGGACCCCGGATGCTCGCAACAGGCTCGCCTCGATCCCCCCTCGCGCGCCCTCCGCTTCCCCGTCGCCTCCCCGGCCTCCCCGGGCTCGGGCCCCCTGGGGCCCGCGAGCGGTGGACCCTCTTCGGACAAGCCGGCACCAGGACACGCCGCGGCCGGCCCTGGCCAGGCCCCTCCCTGGCCCTGCCTGGGACCTCGCCAGCGCTCGGACGCCCCTTCCGTGTGTGTTCTTGTTCGGTTTCGTGCGTGGCTCTTTCGCCAAATGATCAAGGATGCTCCTCGATGGTCCTCGCCGAAGGAAACATGCACACGTCCGAGCGATGCCGAGGGACGTAGTAATTATGCCTGTGTGGACTGAACTCCCCCCCGTTGCAGTCGGACCGAGGTATGAGATCGAGGTTGGCCCGGGGAGGGCACCCTATAGTGTCCTGCGTGCCTGTTGGACGCTTCGTGTGCATCCTGGGGAGGGCAGCTACCCCTGGATGCTCCGTGCGCTCTGGGCGACGGAGGGCCTCATGTCCTCGACGCATGTTCTCCTGGCCCAGCTCCGACTGCACAAGAACGGCGCCCACGCCCCGCAGCACCTTCGGACTCCCTCCGGGCCCCGCTCCAGCGCGGTGCGGTGCGCAATGCTTCGGCCCGGAGAGCCGAGAACAAAAAAAAAAAAAAAAAAAAAACGTCGTGCCATTCCCGGGCCGAAGACCGACGTCGGTCCTCGGCGGGGAGGCCAGCGCGGCGCGGTGCACACGGGTCGTCCGCGGACCCGTGGCCCCTGGGCAGCGCTGGCCCTCTCAAGTCAGGGGGACGTAAGACCTGGGTACAGGGGACTCGGAAATCCCCGACGAGGTCGTCAAAAAAATGACGAGTCCGAGCCTGCATTTTGACCAGGCCTCCTGCTGCAGACATCCCACGAAACTCCTCCTCGTCAAAATCCGAGGCGCGGTCGTCAAAAAACGATGGCGAACCCGAGTCCTGGCAAACCCGGGTCTTACGCTCCCCCGATCAAGGCCCGGCACAGACCTCGGCCAAGGCCGGTGATTGCGCACGACTGCTGGCCTCCGATCGTCCACCCAGACCACGGTCAGTGGGCTCCTGAAGGATCCTGCAGGCTCCTGCACCCAAGCCCGGCCCGCGTCAGTGCGACCCTGGCCCTGCAGGATCCTGCAGGATCCTGCACCCAAGCCCGGGTCAGTGCGCCCCTGGCCCTGCAGGATCCTGCTGGATCCTGCTGGATCCTGCACCCAAACCCAGGTCAGTGCGCCCCTGGCCCTGCAGGATCCTGCCGGATCCGGCGCTCTGGCTGACCCCCGTTCGCATCGGGCCCCCCGTCTATCGTGGGCCCCCGATCCGAGTCCTCCTCCCCTCCGCCGGCTCTCCTGGTGCTGCTTGAGGGCCAGGTCCTTCTCCTTGATGATGCGGTCCTGCTGGTCGCTGTCCTGGCTCTTCTGCTTCTCGAAGTCCTGCCGCCGGGCTGCGCGGGAGGGGGGCGCGGCACGGGCGCGCGCGCGCGGAGGGAGCGCGCGCAGGGGGGGCCGACCCCGCCTGCGGGAGCAGCAGGGGGGCTGGTCGAGCTCCTGGGCTGGTTGAGCTACTCCAGGGGCTACCCTCAGGTCGGGCATGTCCTCCTACAGGTGGATGTTGGAGGGGAACAAAAAAAAAAAAATTCAAACAAATATGCAAAAATGGCCAAACATAGTGAAAACATCGTCCCCAGGCTGTCTTTTACTATGTTTGAACATTCCTCCCGTAGAGGGACATGCCCGACTTAAGGCCACCCGAGGCTCATGAGCATCGCCTGACCGATCCGTATGCCCACTGGCGTGGGCTCGGCCCCGCTGGCCGACTTGCCCACTTGGGCGGGTGTGCGTGTGTGTGTGTGCACGTTCCTTCGGGCCTCGCGGGACATATCCCCACTTGTGGGGGCTGGTGGGGCTCAGACACCATGGCTCGGGGGGCAGGCTGGACGATGCTGAGCTCAGCGGGGGTGCTGGAGCTCAGCGACGGCTCGAGGAAGATCGCGTCCCTGGAACGCAGGCGCTGCTCGAGCTCCGGGGGTCGTTCGCCCCCGCCGGCGCTGCTCCGGAGACCGGCCCCGGACGCCCTCCGGGAAGCCACCCACCACCCCAAGAATGCCCCTTCGGGGGCCTGTTTGTCTTTCGACTCTGACGAGTTTACCTGCATGGACGGGGGGAGGGGGGGGCTGAACCTGAGGCAGGCCGCAAACGACTTGACGTGCGGAAATCACGCAAGTCGAGTGGCACTTGCAGCACGCTCGTATTCGATGTGGGGGGGTGGGGGGGGGCGAACGCCACGCAAGTTAACTTGCCTGAATCTGAAGACAGACAGGCTCCAGGGCGGCTGTTGAGGGGGAGGGGCCGGGGTCGCCAGGCCTCTCGAGGGGGGGGGGGCGGAGGGAGGGTTTTCGGTAGGGCTCCCGGGCGCCAGACTCAAAAGCAAAACAATGATGATCGAAACCCCCTACCAAAAAACACCTTACCCCCCCCCCCCGAAGAAAAACCTGTCAATAGACCACCAACCCCACCCGTTCGTTCGCTCATCAAAAAATCTTCACTAATCCCAAGAGGTTCCGTTGAAACCCCTCAAACTTGCAATTCGTCAGAGACCTCCTGGGACCCACTCAACAAAACCCAATGGTTTTTTTGTTTTAGTAGCGTTCCCCTAGACGCCCCGGGAACCCCCCAGGAATCGCCCTCAAGGAGGTTTGGGGGATTTATCGGAGGGATTCTCCCGCAGCTCCCCCAGGCGGAACATCCTTAGGTTTTCGGGGGAGTTACCCCAGATCCTCTCCTGGGAACCCGCCCCAAGGGGTGTTTTGATGGGTTTTCGGGAGGGGCGGGCGAGACTACCAAGGACCCCCCCCCTGGGAAGACCTCTCAAGGGGTATTTTTAGGATAATTCCCCCAGACCTTCCAGGACCCTCTCCTGGGAACCTCCCTCCAGGCCGAATGTTTGGTAAGTTTCTGGGGAGATCCCCCGACCTCCCAGGAACCCTCCGGGACCCCCTACCCCTCAAGGTAGGTATTTGGAAACGTTTCGAGCGAGCCCCTCAAGGAAGGTTGTTCGCGTTTTCGTTCCGAGGAGGTTCCCCCCGACGCCGCAGGAATCACCCTAGGACCCCCCCTCAAAGAGGGGTTTGGTGTATTCGTTGGGGCGAAAGTTTCCCCGAACCCCCTCGGACCCCCCGGGACTCCCTCTCAAGCGGGGTTGTTCTAGTGGGCCGTTGTAGAAATCCCCCTGACTCTCCAGGACCACCGCCCTGGGAACACCCCTCAAAGAGGTTGAATCGATTTGTTCGGCAGGGTCCCTCCAGAGCCCCCAGAAACCTCTCTGGGACCTTCCTTATCACGATGGAAGGTAAATTTTGCTTGTTGACTTTTTGACTACCTACAAGACCACCCCAACCCAACCCGAAGACCCGAATTTCGCCCGAATTTCTTAATGGGGGATGTACTGGTTCCAAATGTGTTTTCAATGTTCCTCGACCCCCCCACAATGGAAATGGAAGGCAAATTGAAGCCTTCGGATTGGGTTGAGGTGGTTTGGTGGGCGGTGACTTTTACCCCCCCCCGCCCCCCCTCCCCAGGAACCACCAAAAAGAAAAAACTGAGGAAGTCATTTGGGTGGCGCCCCCCCCTCAAAACAAGTTCAATAGATTGTTCATGTTTTGTTTTCTGTGGTCCCCCAGACCTCCCAGGATCCCCTCATAAAACAACCCTGAAACCGCTCTGGGAGGACGTAACGACCCCAACGACAAAAAAACCTCTGATGATTTTCTGGTGGTGGAAATCCCTCGCCTGGTGGACAGAGGATGCACGGGTCATCCCCCTCACAATCGCCACCCAGACCTCCTTTGTGGAGGTGCCTTCATGGCCAGAATCCCCGATCTGTAACCCAGCCGCGGCGCTGCAGAGCGCCCCGAGGCCAGAAAGACAGCCAAAAACCTGGAGTCAAAAAAAACTCCACCCCGAAACCTGCGGGCAAGATATATATATATATATATATATATATATATATATATCAATATTCACTGCCTCTCGGATTGTCGGGATCCCTTCATCTCCCTCAAAACCCGAGCCGGTGGATATGGATAAAGATCTGGCCTCTATGGAGGACCGACTATTCTACCTGTACCAATACGTGCATATTCCTCTGCCTATATTTTTACAAGCCCGGGCGGGGGGAAAACCCGTCTCCCCCCCCCAAAACCAGACTCCCCAGATCTGAGGCTTTGGGACCCTCCGGACGGGCCTCGAAGCGGCCCCCCGGGCCTCGCAGGGCGTTTTGCCAAGCCTTCCCAGCACACCTAGGGCGATCAGGGGGGTCATCGGAGACGCCTCGGAGACCCCCAAGACAGCACAAGAGCGCTCCAAGAGTGACCGACGTGACCTCAAGATGGCCCAAGAGGCCTCCAGGACGGCCCCAAAGAGGCCTCCAAGAGCACTCCCAAGAAGGCCCCAAGAGGCAAAAATCATTGATCTTATGTAGGTTTTTTGTGAATTTTGGGGTTCTCCTCTTTTCGGCTTCCCGACGCTCCAAGACGGCGGTCTCCTAGGCGTCCGAAGCCGCCTGGGAGGCTCCAAAATCGCCCCACAACCATCCGAAAGGGCTTCCAGGCAGTCCAAGAGAGCCCCAAAACGGCACAACAGGAGTCCAAAATGGCCCTAAGAGAGCCCCATGGCTGCCCAAGATGGCCCCAAGACACCCTCCGAAGCATTCCAAATCGTGACCTGGTCGTTCAGGGAGACCGCGATTGGAGGCAGGGTGGCCCGAGGAAGCCCCCAGAGGCCCCCAGAATACGCCCAGGAGGCCTCCAGAAGGCCTTAGGAACGCTTGAAACAATTTTTGTGAGGCCCCCGGAGGCTCTCCAAGGAGGAGCCTCCGCAAAAAAAAACTGAGGAGAATGGGGAGAATGCGCAGGGTATGGCGAAAATACGGAAAAAGAGGCATGGAGGAAGGATAACGAAGAACATTAAAAATAGCGGCGATGCCGGAAAAGGCAACAAGGAGTCATCGCTAAATTGTCGGCTTGACTTTCCTGCTATTCCGCCTGCATGCCAAATCGCCATGCACCTTGGTCCTTGGAGTTTGGTATGCAGGCGGAAATGGCAGGAAGATCAAGCCGACAATTTAGCGATAACTCCTTGCTGCCTTTTCTGGCATCGCCGTTATAATAATGTTGTTCGTCGTCCTTCCTCCATGCTTATTTTTCATCATTCTCGCCATACCCTGGGCATTCTCCCCATCCTCCTCAGCTCTTTTTGCGGAGGCTCCTCCTTGGAGAGCCTCTGAGGGCCTCACCAAAGTTCTCAGGCTTTCTGAAAGCCTTCTGGAGGCCTCCTGGGTGTGTTCTGGGGGCCTCTGGGCCTTCCTAGGCCAACCTGCCTCTAACCGCGGTCCCCCTGAACGCCCCAGTCACGATTTGGAATGCTTCGGAGGGTGTCTTGGGGCCATCTTGGGTCGCCATGGTGCTCTCTTAGGGCCATTTTGGACCCCTGTTGTGCCGTTTTGGGGCTCTCTGGGACTGCCTGGAAGCCCTTTCGGATGGTTGTGGGGCGATTTGGGAGCCTCCCAGGCGGCTTCGGACGCCTAGGAGACCGCCGTCTTGGAGCGTCTGGAAGCCGAAAAGAGGAGAACCCCAAATGCACCAAAAACCTACATAGAATCAATGATTTGTCCCTCTTGGGGCCTTCTTGGGGGTGCTCTTGGAGGCCTCTTGGTACGTTTTGGAGCGATCTTTCGGGGTATGACGGCTTCTTGGAGCGCTCTTGTGCTGTCTTGGGGGTCTCTGGGACGTCTCCGGTGACCCCCCTGATCGCCCTGGGTGTGCTGCGTAGGCTTGGCAAAACGCCCTGCGAGGCCCAGGGGGCCGCTTCGAGGCCCGTCCGGAGGGTCCCAAAGCTGCAGATCCCGGGGATCCGGTTTTAGGGAGGGGGGGGGGGCGGGTTTTCCCCCCGCTCGGGCTTCTAAAAATATAGGAAGAGGAATATACAAGACTGCGTTGGCGCTTCGCGCCACGCACCTTGGTCTTTCAAGCTTCGCATATGTTGGCACTTGGCGTCATCCTCTCTGGCATTTACAATTTGGCGGTTTCCTTTCAAGTCCCCTTACCCGTTCCTTATTTGCTCTCGCCCTCGATTTACATGTTCGTGCGCCACCCGAATTTTTCTCGGGGCGCGTTGTGATTCCAAATTCGTGGCCGGCCCGATGACGTGGTGACGAGAACGCCACCTGGAGGCTCCGAAAAAACGTTGAACCAAAATCGCGTGCCCTCTTCGATGGATCCTGCGCCAGCAAGTGTCAAAACGGCCAGCGCGTCGATGGTTGACACCGCTTGGATCGTTTTGCCGTGAACGATCGCGCATTCCTTTTCAACACCGGCCGATTCCTTACCACTGGCCGCGTTCATTCCGAACGCCCGCGCCGGTGTCGCCACGTAAATCTACCGCTATGGAGGAAAAAATGTGTCTTGGGGATCGTTTTCTCCAGTCCAGAATCTATTTTCAGGCCCGCCGGGTTGCAGCGGCTACTGGAGGCCGACGTCGAATCCAAACCTCCGAAGATTACAGAAACTCCAAGAAGCCTGGCGGCTTCCAGCGGCTCCCAACAGCACAAAACAAACAAATGTATGAGCCATTGCAAACCCCGAATAGTGAGGTGTTGAACTCCAGCGGTGAAAGTTCTGCTGCTTAGACTATGTGATGTGAGCGATGTTGTGGCAAACATGTGGTGTGAGCTATGCGGTGACAGCTCTTCGGTGTTAGCTGTGGTGGTAATTTTGTTGTGTAAACTATGTAATGCGGGCGATGTAGTGGTATATACCGAATGCGAACTGTATGGTGCAGGACAGGTGGTATGAACAATATGTTGGGAATAGCGTTGTGGAAGCTATGCGGAGAGAAAAGATCGTTATCAGCTATATCGCGTGGGGCTCACGAGCGCCCACGATGCAGCATGGGCGGGCACGTCTTTTGCGGAGGCTCCTCATTGAGGAACATCTTGCGGGCCTCACGAATGCCTCTCAAGGTCTTTGGGCACCTCTGGAAGCCTCCTGGGCGCCTCTCTGGGACGTTTTGTCGGTCCTTTTGAAGCCCGTTTGGATCGTCTTGGGTTCCTGTTGGGCCGTGCTGGGGCTCTCTTGGGGAATCCAGGCCCTCTACGGGCCTTAGTGCGGTCATCTTGGGCCCTCTTAGGGGACGTTTCATGGCCCTCGTGGGTCTCTCTTGGGAGCCTTTGGGGGCCTCGTGAGTTTCTTTGGGGCAGTCTTGGGGTAATGTTCGGGCCCTCTTAGGCTGTCTTGAAACCCTCTTGGGAGCCTCTTGAGCCGTCTTGGGGCGATCTCGGAGGCCTCTTGGGCCGTCGTGAACGCTGCTACGGCACAGTAAGCGAATATGTTGAAAATGCACGCTTCCCCGAGGGAATGGGAAGATGTGTGCCTCTTGGGGGCCCTCCCGAAGGCCTCCTGAAGCGTCTTGGGGGCCTCTTGGGCCGTCTTGGGGGCCGCTTGGACCGTCTTGAGGCCGTCTTGCGCTGTCTTGGGGCTCTCCTGCGCCTCCTCGACCACTTCTCCTATAGCTTTGGGTCTGCTGGGCAAGGCCCGGCAAGGCGCCCATGGGAGGCACGGCAGGGCGGGGGAACCTCTTCCGAGGGCTCCCGGGGACCCCAAAACCCCGGATCCCGAGGAGTCGAGTTGTTTTTTTATCGGGGAGGAGGGGGTTGTTCCCGCCCCCCCCAGCTTGAAAAAAATAGGAAGAGGAGCACACGTGTGCATGCATACATGTATACATACATACATACATACATACATACATACATACATACATACATACATACATACATACATACATACATACATATATATATATCGATACACATATATAAGTGGATATATATATAGACACATATATACACACATATACACATACATAGATAGATATAGATAGATAGATAGATAGATAGATAGATAGATAGATAGATAGATAGATAGATATATAGATATATAGATATATATATATATATATATAGATATATAGATAGATAGATAGATAGATATATAGATAGATAGATAGATAGATTAGATTAGATTAGATTAGATTAGATTAGATTAGATTAGATTAGATTGATTGATAGATAGATAGATAAATATGTAGATATATAGATAGGTATAGAGGTAGATAGATAGATAGATAGCTAGCTAGATAGATAGATAGATATAGACAGACAGATAAATATATATATATAGAAGGATATACACACATATGTGTAAGAATATACTGCGTATCAGGCTGTCGGCCTCCCCTCCCCCAAAGTCGACGACGCCACGAGTGCGGGCAATTACGCACCCGCCCCGCCTGCGGAGCCGCCCCACGCCCGCTCCCCCGGGGGCCCCGCCGCGCCCGCCCCCCCAAAGGGGCGGAGGCCCTGCCCCCCCGACCCCGCCCGGCGGCTCGGGGGTCCTGCTTCATGCTCTGCGCGATGCTGCTGTGCTCCTTCAGCAGCTGCGCGTGCTGCGCCTCTCCGCGGCCGCGGCTGCGCGGCCGCGGCGCGAGGGGGGGCCCCGCCCGCCTCGAGCGCGGAGGGCTGGGGGATCGACACCTGGCCTGCCCGCACTGAGCGTGGACTGCTGCACGGGGCTGCCGAAAAGGGGCCCTTTCGGGCCCCGGAAGGGGCCCTTTCGGACCCCTGCAGGGGGCCTGCCTGCAGGGCCCGAAAAGGGCAGCTTGCGTCCCCCCCCCCCATTAATCTAGGGAGCCGGGCTCGATGCACCAGCGCTTTTTCTGGCCCTGCACGGAAATCTGCTCAGAAAAGCGGATCCTGGTGTATACGGGACCCTGGTCTATACGTGTTTCGCTGCGTCCCCGAGAAAGCGGATAAAAAAAGGTATACACCACACCGCCCCGACGTCGCCCCCGACCCTCAAAAAGTTGTGGCATTGAATAACAGACCGCCACTGGTAACGTGTATGTTCCAGTTTCCAAATGAATTCGCCCCATACTTGTAGAGACCTCCTAGATGGGGTCCGAGTAGATGGGGTCGGAGGATCGCGCCGCATCGCCAATGCATCGCCGACGTCGGCGACGCACCCGCGGCCTCGGCGTGGAGGAAATCGGGCTCGGCATCGAGCCGCATCGCCGATGCATCGGGGATGCGGCGCGATCTTCCCACCCCATCTACAGTCGGGGCGTTGACCGAAGGAACCATAAATAAGGAACGTGGCCTCTTTTTCTCATAAGTTAAACTTCGATTCCTCTCAGGAAAACCCACGGCAAACTGTAAAACAATCAAGGAACACCGAGCCCCTCCCCAACGAAAAGGGTTCCTTCTTCAGCGCCCCGACTGTACCCAGACCCCCGACGTCATGTTCCTGCCATGACGCGACCCCCAGAGGTCCCGACCCATTCCCCGGGACCGGCTCTTCGCCCCGAGCCGTTTTTGTTGGCGGCCCCGAGGCCCCGGCGAGGGCCCCCCCCCGGGGCCGAGGATGGCGACAAACCTCCCGCGTCGTGAGTTTTGCACGGCGCGAGGGGGTCTGGGCACGCCGACCCCATCCGTCGAGACCCATATCCCTATCCCTATGCTGGGCACCTCCTCATCACGATGCCAATCTCAGGGACTCCCTTCTTTTTGGAGGGCGAGTCCCTAAGATTGTCATCGCCTTTTGGCGTGTCAATCTTAGGGATAAGGATACGTTCGAGGCTGGCAATAGGTACCAGTACAAACAAACGCAGGTGGGCGCATCTTGGATGCTCGTTCTGGAGCCACTCGCTCCACTCGTGCGTCGAAGCTGCGTCGAAGGTCCGTCGACTTGGGTCGGCCCTGAGTCGGCCCTGAGTCGAGCCTGAGTCGAACTTGAGTCGAACTTGAGTCGAACTTGAGTCGAACTGGGGTCGAACAGATCCGTTAGGTGGGCTCCAGGAAGGTCCCCGCAACGAGCATCGACGTAATAGGCACAAGCACAGACAAACGCAGGTGGGCGCACCCGTGCCTCGGCGAGGGGGCGCGGGCCGCCGCGCCCGGCGCGCGCCTGCCTGCCTGCCCGCGCGCGCCGCCCTTGGCGCCACGCGCACGGACGGGGGCGCGCCGCACCGGAAGCCGGCCGCCCACGAGTGGACGTGCCCCAGACATGATCGCGTCGTAAAAAATCAGCGAGCGAAGAACGGTATAAGATAAACTTTTTCGCTGTCGGGGGCGCCTGCCCCAGGGCGGCTGGAAAGTTTATACCCCTGCGGTGCCACCGTAAGGGTATAAACTTTCCAGCCGCCCTGGGACAGGCGCCCCCGACAGCGAAAAAGTTTATTTTATACCGTTCTTCGCCCGTTGAAAAAAAAAATCAGGACGGGAGGTTTTTGGCTATTTTCGGCCCCGGGGGGCCCCCGCCGGGCCTCGGGACCGTGAAGAAACGGCTGCAGGACGAGAAACCGGTCCCGGGGAAAGGGTCGGGTCCTCCGGGGACGCCGTCTCGAGAAAATCAGGACGTCGCATGTCTGGGGCGGCAGCCCCGCGAGTCGAGAGGCACTTTTGCACGCCCGCGCTCGACTGCAGAGGGGCGAAGGGGGGGGGGGAGGGGAGGGGGGGGGGGGCCAACGCCATGCCAGGAGACGCGCCCGTCTGCAGAAGGACAGGCTGCCCAGACCCCCGACGTCATGATTTTTTCATGACGTCGACCCCCAGAGGTCTGGACCCCTTCCCCAGGACCAGTTTTTCGTCCTGAGTCGTTTTTTGGCGCTCCCGAGGCCCGGGAAGGGCCTCCAGAGGGCGAAAATACAGAAAAACCTCCCGTCGTGATTTTTTCATAACTCGAGGGGGTCTGGGGTGCCGCTCCCTGCCTCTCCCCCCCCGTTCGTTCGGCCCGAACGGGGGGGGGCGGGGGCGGGGGCGGCCGGCCTCGCGCACGGCCCCGGCTTCGGCTCCGGCCCCAGCCTCGGCTCCCGCTCCGGCCCCGGCCCCGGCCCCCGGCCCTGGCTGGGAGGACGAGGAGGTAGGAAGGCACCAACTATACACCAACACCGATCCTGGCCAGGATCACCCTGGGCCCTCCTGCCTTGGGCGAGAAGGCATATACACCGATCATGGGCCCAGGGTGATCCTGGGCCAGGATCGGTGTTGGTGTATAGTTGGTGCCCTCCGAGGAGGGGCCGCAGAACCCGCCCTGGGAGGTCTCCGGAACTTCAGGTTCTCAGGCTCCAGATGCCCTGGCCTACCAGACCTCGGGCACCAACCTCCAAGCCGGCATTGCGGACAAAAAATACCACATCGTGGAGATCACGCCTGGAACCCTGGAGCCCACCTTTGCGCGCCCATTTTCGAGCCGGTTCGATATCAAAATTAACCTGGCGAAGGACCCAACCATATGCAGTTGAGAGTACCGCAATTGTGAACATCTTCTTCGGTGGAGCTCCCTATGGGGCCACGAAACGTGTGAGGGGTGTGCCGAAATGGGTGTGCGGGACGCATGCGGACGGCAGCACTGGGGCCTTCGGTGGAGCTCCCTGTGGGGCCACGAAACGTGTGAGGGGTGTGCCGAAATGGGTGTGCGGGACGCATGCGGACGGCAGCCATGGGGCCTTCGGTGGAGCTCCCTATGGGGCCACGAAACGTGTGAGGGGTGTGCCGAAATGGGTGTGCGGGACGCATGCGGACGGCGGCAGCATGGGGCCACGAAACGTGTGACGGACGCATCTGGGGCCTTCGGTGGAGCTCCCTATGGGGCCACGAAACGTGTGAGGGGTGTGCCGAAATGGGTGTGCGGGACGCATGCGGACGGCAGCACTGGGGCCTTCGGTGGAGCTCCCTGTGGGGCCACGAAACGTGTGAGGGGTGTGCCGAAATGGGTGTGCGGGACGCATGCGGACGGCAGCCATGGGGCCTTCGGTGGAGCTCCCTATGGGGCCACGAAACGTGTGAGGGGTGTGCCGAAATGGGTGTGCGGGACGCATGCGGACGGCAGCACTGGGGCCTTCGGTGGAGCTCCCTGTGGGGCCACGAAACGTGTGAGGGGTGTGCCGAAATGGGCGTGCGGGACGCATGCGGACGGCAGCCATGGGGCCTTCGGTGGAGCTCCCTATGGGGCCACGAAACGTGTGAGGGGTGTGCCGAAATGGGTGTGCGGGACGCATGCGGACGGCAGCCACTGGGGCCTTCGGTGGAGCTCCCTATGGGGCCACGAAACGTGTGAGGGGTGTGCCGAAATGGGTGTGCGGGACGCATGCGGACGGCAGCATGGGGCCTTCGGTGGAGCTCCCTATGGGGCCACGAAACGTGTGAGGGGTGTGCCGAAATGGGTGTGCGGGACGCATGCGGACGGCAGCACTGGGGCCTTCGGTGGAGCTCCCTGTGGGGCCACGAAACGTGTGAGGGGTGTGCCGAAATGGGTGTGCGGGACGCATGCGGACGGCAGCCATGGGGCCTTCGGTGGAGCTCCCTGTGGGGCCACGAAACGTGTGAGGGGTGTGCCGAAATGGGTGTGCGGGACGCATGCGGACGGCAGCACTGGGGCCTTCGGTGGAGCTCCCTATGGGGCCACGAAACGTATGAGGGGTGTGCCGAAATGGGTGTGCGGGACGCATGCGGACGGCAGCCATGGGGCCTTCGGCGGAGCTCCCTATGGGGCCACGAAACGGTGTACTGGGTGGGTGAAGAGGAGAGGAGGAGAGGAGGAGAGGAGAGGAGGAAGGAGGAAGGAGACGCGGGGCACCGTCTCTTCAAAACGAGGACCCAACACCACAGGATGGTTGGGAAAAACTTGAGAACAAAAAACCCAGCGAAAACGCCAGGCTCGAAAAAAAAGGAACGCCAGGATCTCACGGTATGTTCGGTGGTAACTCGTGGGAGCCTCCCATACCATCTTGTCGGCGCTTGCGTTATTTGCGGCGGCTTAGCCATCCGTCTTACTTAGATGCTCTTGGAGGGCAGCGTGGTTCGCCTTTTATACCATTCACGGTGGCTACGACTTCTTCCATTTGATGTTTGACTTGTTCCAGCCCTGTGCTCTCAGCAAACCGTTGCGCTCGCAGGGCCCCGACTTCTTTCTGGAGTTCAGGCAACATGTCACCTCGCTGCTTATTCCAAAGCTGATTGCTTTCCTGCTCGCTTTCAACCTCATGTAACCGTTGGCCCACAAAGGCTAGAAGCAGGCATCGCGACTGCGTCTCTGCTGCTGCCCCTTATCCTGACCCCCGGCACTCTGGGCCACAAAGGCTTCGACATCAGGGCGAACTTCAGCATCGATAACCGGGCGGGCTGCTTGTGGTTGACTGACCAAGTCGGCCATCATCCGAGCTTCTCATGCAACGGCCCGCGCTCGCTGGTCGCCACGCCCACGGTTGGCCCTCGCGCGTTTTACGAATGCGCCGCGTCGCCCAGCTCGCTTCTGCAAAGCAATTTGTACATTCAGCAAGTCGCACGGCAAGAAAGGCACGTCGACTCGACCATCGCTCATTTGGCCCATGGTTCGCGCCGATTCGACGTGTTCTGGCCCGCGCCAATCCGACGCCCATCCTTACGGGCCGCGTCCATTCGACGATCACTTGTTCCCAACCGAAAAGGCGGTCGCGAGGTTTGCCTCTGTTGCGCGCTCTGGCCCATCCTCGCTGACATTGCAGTTCTGCCTTGCCCTGGCGCGCGACCACGGGGGGAAACACACTGCTGAAGGAGTATGGCGCAGAGCCCCCCGCTTTCCTGGTCCTTCTGAATTCATCCTGAACGCTCGGTCTCCACATAGCACCAGGCTTCCCGATGCAATCACTTCAGCCTCAAGTTTGCCCGCCGCAACGCGCGCGGCGTCAGGTTTCCCAAACGGTGGTTCCGCCATGCGGGACACTTGCGGGCGTCGGCACATCCACATAACGCCGCATACACGGGCCAAACTCCCCATTGGTCAAAACCTTAACGGTGGAGGGCCCTGGCTCGCCTGCAAAGGCGGCCAGCTTCCCGTCAGGTGTTCGAGCTTGCGTCCTGCCGCGACCCACGAGGACACCTCGACAAGAAAACCAGAACAACAACAAACATTGGAATCGTTCCTCGCCGAAGCGACGGCGCAGGGGCACCGCCATTTTGATCGACCGCTTCGAGAAGACAGATCTGCTGCGGAGGCGCCCGAGCGTGAAGGAGAAGCAGCAGCAGGCGGAAGGGAAGGGGAAGCGCGAAAAGGGGGAAGGACCAAGGCGGGCCCGCGACCCCCCCGAAACCCTGAGTGGGATACCGTAAAACACATACACCCTGCGAAATGCTTAAGAAATCATGGGTTAAGAAATTCATAGTCTCAGAACTTGAATGAAAACCCAACATTTCTATCAAACTCTTGGGATTTACATTGAAACATTAAGAATAATCGAGACTCTGGCCGAAAACTCAAGCTTTCTTAAGCATCGCCTAAGGTGTACGTGCGCCAAGAACGAGAAATTACAATCAACAGGCCCTGGCGACGAGCAGCCCCCCCCTCCGAGGGCCGACTACCGCGGGTTCGTGCTGCGTCGACCCGGGCGCTGGCTCCTGGCACCGCGGGGACCGCGAAACCTTGAACGATCGGTCGTTTCCGAAGCGTCGGATCGTTTTAGGGCGACGAGATCTATGCATATCCACTGCTCCTGGCCAGGCCCATCCCGGGCCCAGGAGCGGTGTATATGCCTCCCTGGCCAAGCCAGGAGGGCGTATACACAGCTCTTGGGCCCAGGATTGGCCTGGCCGGGAGCAGTGGATATGTATAGATATCGTCGCCATATCGTTTAGCATCAAACGAGTCTGGGTCGCCAAAGGCGTCCATCGCTGCACGCCAGCGGCAGACTCGCCGCTGGTCGGCCGGGCGCGAACCTACCGTGCGGCCAGACCCAGGATTGAAGAACATCCTTCGAGAGCATGAGTCCCTCCGCCGCCCAAAGCACCCCAGATCACAAGGTTATTCGAGGGTACCCTCCCCCAGAATACACAAGAACATCCAACAGAGACGAAGACCACTATCGGCGGCGAGCGAGGGGGGAAATGAGGAGGTGAAGGCCTTCTCAAAGGCGGCGGGACTTCTCAGAAGCCCTCGCGCCTTCTGAGAGGTTCTGCTGTCTTCGGGGGAGGCTTCGAAAACTTCTCAGAGGGCCGGGGGACTTCCGAACCTTCTGAGAAGGCCGTCTCCTTCTCACTGGACCCACTCGCTCGCCGCCGACACCAGGGCCTCGAGCCGACCTCGATCTGATGCCTCGGTCCGACCGTACCGCTGCCTCAACTCGCCGCCGTCTGAAGGCCGTCGGCTCCCGCGGCGGTGGGCATGCGCGCCACGCCCGCCCCTCGGAGGCGGGGCGCCGCCCGGCCTCCCACTCGTGCTTCTCGCGGTCCAGGTCCGTCTCGAGCTTGCGGAAGCGCTGCACCTCGGCCAGCGGGCACGGCGGCCGCGCCCTCCTCCTCCTCCTCC